AGATTCTGCAGAGTGGGAGAATTGAAAGAAAATAAAGCAGAATGATGAAATAGGAGTCCCTATGTCAACCTCAAACTAATTTAGTATTTAAATTTTTTTTCCTAAGATGCGTAATTGGTCAATATGACCAATGGATTTTTATCTGCCCCAGAGAGCATGAAGAGAACTGTTTAACATTTTAACAAAAAAATAAACATATCTATTGGAACAGAGCACCTTCGCTCGGCAGCTAAATAAAAATGTCCTAATTTTTTCTCCTCGTCTCTTTCAGTCTCCCTTTCCAGGTGACGATGAAGAGGAGGTGTTTGACAGTATAGTGAACGACGAGGTGCGCTACCCGCGTTTCCTCTCCACTGACGCCATCGGCATCATGAGACGGGTTAGACTTCATCACTTCCTGCTGCTTCTTTACTTTACTCTCTTTATATTCTGAGAATAAAATGTACATTTTAGAAACAGTGCTTTGCAATAGTATTCATACCCATGATCCTTATCCATGTATGGTTTTTTAAATAATTGTAGCACTAATTTAGGAAGCTGAAGTCAAATTATTACTAGTTTATGGACTGGAACCACTGTGCAACCACCATCAGAGGGCTCATGCACAGAAGAGTACTGTATGTAGCTACCATACTTAAATGTAGAATGAAAGCCTCATGTAGAACTTTCAAAACGTTCGGTAGAAAAACAAAAAGCAGATGTATTAAACCGTGCATTGGGTTGCTGCTGCACACCTTTGCTTTACATATCCCTAAGATCAAACCCAGGTGGAGGAACTACTTTGAACATCCAGTTCCAACCTATATACTGATATGTGAACTTTGGGGGCACAGAAGGTAGTTAGATATTAAACTGGCATAGAGGCACATTGTTCTGCGAATTCTTGACCCTTTTTTCTGTTAAAATTAAAGTGTCAATTTGAGGGGAAAAAAAACATGAATTTTATGCTCCTCAGCAAACAAATGGATGCACAATTCCATAACGTAAACAGAGAATATTTACAGTTTATATCCGACTGAGGCTGTTTCCATCATTTTTAGATGTGTTACAGTGTATTGGGATAAATCAAAATCAATTTCATCATAACCCGACTTTATATCTAAACAGCTCAAACTCATAAAAAAAAATCAAGTTTGATATTCCAGCAGGTTAAGTTAGAAGAACAGATTCACATTTCATTAGATTGAGCTGTTATACATCTAGTCTGTTGGAAAAATATGGATGTTGTGCTTTTTAAATGTCATTTTAATGTATGTATGGCTCCATCCAGACATGGTTAATCCAGATCCAGGAAGTGAAAAGCCTGTATTTCCAATTTCACAATACAGCCTGGGGGCTAATAATTTGACCAGAAGAAAAACTGGACAGGATTTTTACTTTCCTGACCTCTGGCAGCATCTTTTTTACAAAAACTAAATCTGAAATAAATGGATATTACTTTTCAAATATCTTAACTTAATGGAAAAGTAGGCTAAAGAAAGTCATACACTGGAAAAAAAACATCTAGAAATAGGGAAAAATTTCCTAAATTAAGTGTATTTATCCTTAATTTGAGTAGGTATATAAGATGTTTTGCCAATGGAATTTGTATTTTTACTCTTAAAATAAGATTAAATAGATAGAAATAAATAGATAGAATAAGATAAAATGCACTTGAAATAAGACAATGCAATTGTTTTTTCTTATTTAAAAGTAAATTGTCTTGTTCAATTGGCAAAATGTCTCTTTTACCTTCTCAATTCAAGAAAAAATGCACTTATTTTAAGAAAAAATGACCTATCTAGATTTGGATTTTTTTCCAGTGTCATAAGACTCTTTTACTGGACTGTACTGTGCTTAAAATCAGAGAAAAGAACTAGATGGATCTGGTCAGATCACATCAGAAAGTACTTCTATATCTGGAAGGAAACTGACACAGCAAAGAACCCTAAACCAGCTACTTCTACTTTAAAACATGAAAATGGCAGCATGGTGCTGTGGGAAGGCTTTTATTTGGCAACAATAAGGAAGAATGGAGTAAAGGTTCCCTCTGCAGCAAAAAAAGACCCTAAACATCCAGTAGGATTAATAGTTTAAGCACATCTATGTTTTAGTGGCCTAGTCAAAGTCCAGATCTGGACCTGATGAGTGGAGCTGAAAAGAATACAGCAGACATGGAAGTTTAAGGTGTTCAAATCCCTTTTTCAAGGCTTTTTAATGTTGTCACTAAGAGTTCTGCTGGGTTCCCTCTCCAGCTCCTGAGAAGAAATCCTGAGAGGCGTCTGGGCTCCGGAGAGAAGGACGCCGAAGACGTCAAGAAGCAGCCATTTTTCAGGGTAAGCCCCTCATTTAGAAAACATTAATAAATAATGAACTACGTTAAAACATACGACTTTACACTGTAAACCCTTTATTTAGATACAAAGTGTTTGATGAATGAAAGGACAATTCTTAAAAAGGCCTTAAAAAGTCCTGCCTGTATAAAAGGCGCTAACAGATGAACACCCCCCCCTTAGGGCATGGACTGGGACGCACTTCTCCAGAGGAAAGTCACGCCTCCCTTCATCCCGACCATCGCCGGCAAAGAAGACGTCAGCAACTTCGACACGGAGTTCACCGCCGAGGCGCCCGCCCTCACGCCTCCCCGCGAGCGCCGTTCCCTCTCGCGGAAGGAGCAGGACTACTTTAAGGATTTCGATTACGTCTCCGACCTCTGCTAGGACCTGGAGTCATGGAGGGGGTCACCTGCCCTCCATCAGCCACAGGCTCTGATGGGGGAACCGACTGCTGTGCTGCATAGAACACGGTGGAATGAGAACTTTTTACTCCCGCCTTCTACTTTCTTTGTGGGAGACAGAAAGAACAGCTGAACTAAAAGTGTGTGAACAGCAACCGGACTGCATGTCATACACCATTTCTGGACTCCCACAGAGGAGCGAAGCTGCCATGACAACAGAAGACTCTCCCGATGATGTAACGGATCCTGATGCGACAGGAAGTCCTTTCCTTCTCTTTAATCTGAACTCACCCGACGCATTCCTCATGTTTGTTGCTTCTGTGTTTAAATGTGAATTGTGCCCCATCACTCCTCAGCTTTTTCATGCAGCACCTAGAATCTACCACTTGTGGGCGCCAGAGGGTGGCTTAGAAGGAGAAAGTGCAGTTTTTTTTTTTTCAGGTTTTGTTTGTGTTTTATTTCTGCCAAAGAAAGGCGCCACAAGTGGAAGCTTTTATGGAGGAGCAGCTGCTGTTTGCTTCATCTCCCTCCTTCTCCATCACTGTCTCCTGCTGTTTTTCGGTACATTGCAGATTTTTTTGTAGAGTATTAAAAATCTTCAGATGTTTTTTTTTTTTTATTTTGGCGAGAAACCTTTTATCTCAGTTGTTTTTTTGTTTTTTTTTATTCCTCTGTCGTTCACTGATATTGTAGCAGCCGTGATCCAGTAAAGATGTGAAACCAAGTGTGAAGGAATTCCTCTTTTTTCCTAATGTCACTTTTTCTCTTTAGGTGTTTTCCTACATGGAAAATTAGGCAGAGAACAGAAGGTTAGAATGTTCCCTAATTTTTTTTAGATCACATCTATCCACCATTAAGGAAGTCTGGAAAAGTAAATAATTTTCCAACTCTGGATAGAAACTAATAGGATTAAATTAAGCTTAGTACAGCGTTTAAGTTGCAGCCTTTATTGTTTATCCCAGTTTTCTAAAGGAAACTGTTTGGATAAAATAATTAAAGCAATTATTGTTTGTGTAACATCAAAGTGGGAAAAAAAAGTCAATGAAATGGAAGTGAATTTTGTTCCATTATTGATGAAAGATAGATGAAATAGATATGTGAAAAAAATACTTTGTAAATGAAAAATAAAATGCAATCCAGAAACGTTGAAAAACCTTTTAATCAATAAACAAGTTTTTGAGAGTAACTTTGCTGTTTTTTTCTACATTTTTTATCATTTTTAAGAAATTTTTTGACAGATTTGTATTATGTTTAAATTTTTCCTCTATTCAGATTGATTTTTACAAATTGCATTCTTTTCAAATTGTATGTCAAAGGTTACATTTTTTCACTTTAAGCCTAATGCAAGCGTTCACTCTTCACTTATTAAAATGTTGCTAACGTCCATGTAGACCAATAGAAACACATCTTTGCTCTTAAATCAGGACAGTCACCCCCAGAAGTAAAGAGAACCTGATCCTTAAAACCAGATTTGAAAAGAAGGTAATTCATAAAACTCCACCTGAAAAACAGAAATTTTATATTAAAAAAATTTAGTCCACAAATTCGAAGATATATTTCCACTCTCTGTATTGCTCTTTGTATCCATGTTTTGCGCTACGCCTTCTCCCCACACACCTGTGCCTTCAGGCTGAGACGTCGCATTTATAATTTTAAAATATAATATAGTAAAAATGTTGGTGAAGATTCTGAGTCATCCAGGTCATCGTCATTCCAAAAAATGTTAAAACAAACCACTGGACTTGTTTCCAAGTTTGAAGGCGAATAAAATCTTGAACTCAGCGCTATTCCTGACATTTTGATTTAAAAAAGCTTCCTGGATGTGAAGTGAAACGTCTTCAAATTTGGAAACAAGTCCAGTGATTTGTTTTAACTATAATATAAAATAATAAATAATAAAATTAGGAAAAATACATTTGAGAAAAATAACTTGAGATAACTCAGAGGAAGAAAAAACATGAACTCTCACAACCTGTTTTTGATTTAAACATTTTACAGAGTTTAATTTCTTAATTGCATTTTTTTTAAATCTCATTTATTTTTTTTTTGCTCTTAGCAATAATGGGAAAAAAAGCACTCCATACAAGAGGCGCATGGTGAATATGGGAAAACTGCAGACACCCAGAGCTCAATTACTAACATTATCCTCTAATAAACCACAGGATTAAAAAAACAACAACAATGTTCTTGTAAAGCTGGAGTAGAGGTTCGTCTTCCAGCAGGACAAGGACCTTTAACAAGGTTTAGATCAGAGGTCTGCAACCTGAGGCCTTTTCACTGGACCTCGCTAACTATGACCACTACTGATATTAATATCAGCTGAAAAAAAGGGGTTTAATTAGTGTTGCACCGATTCCAGTATCGGGCAGGACCCCGATCCAGCACTATGGAAACTAATATCATTTTGAGAGCCATAAGTTTATTCAACTATTGTCATCCATTCCAGGTAGGCAATAAAAACTGGATTCACTTTGTATTCGTCTTTTTCCGGCTTCGCAAAGGTAGGCAGCAGCTTGACAAAGCCATGATGGAAATAATTTTAATCCAAGTAGTTTGCAGTTCTTCATATATACACACACACATCAATTTCAAACAGATGGTATCGGTATGGTATCGGTATCGGCAATATTGCACAGCCAGGTATCAGGGCCAAAAAATGGCATCGGCGCAACACTAGTTTTAACCATACAAAAAACACACCAGTGACATACATTTGGGGAAATAATATTGTGGAGTTTTGCTCAATACTTTTACTAGAGTAACCTTCTTATAAAATATATCTACTATTACTCTAGTGAAATGTTTGGTTACTTTATGTACCAAGGTGCTCCAGACCAAGGTGCTAAATAGGTTAACTCTAGGGATGCAAAATCGTTTTTCCCCTATTGTAGGCTGGAAATCATATACTGTCATGGTGGGCTTTAAGGATCTCACCCACATGCAGAGAAACACTCAGAGAACCAAGAGAAAAAGTTAACAGGTTTATTTGAAGGTTTACAAAAAACAGAGTGTGAGATAATACTTCTGGGCAAACTCAGTTGGACCTCAGAGGACTGGTGAACCGGAACTGGAAACTCTGAAGGGGAGACCACAATGATCAGTTCAGGGCCCGTAGGAAATATGACTGATACTTGAGATTTGTGGGAATGGGACTCAGGTTTGGGGGGTTCTAGGTTATCCCTTGGATCCAGTTTGTCGGGTTTAATCCAGAGATGAAAGAACTCGTTGGAGGGTGGACAGGCAGACTGGCGTTGGGTCCAGAGGAGTAATCGAGCAGACTGTCACCGGGTTTTCCTGAAGTTGACTTGAACGGATCTGGTGGAGGTTTCCCCTCTCTCGGTTTGACTTAAATGATTCCTTCCAGGGGGAGGTAGAAGGACCAGGCTTATCCAGTGGATCAGGAAGGATTCCTACCGGAGAACAAAGACAAAGGCAAAGCTAAGACTCAGAGAGACAAGGCATAAATTAGACTCAACTAATCCCAGTTTGGCTAGAGTACCCAATACTGGCAAACACTCTGGCGTCAAAGTAGTGACAGCCCGCTGCTCATATACTCCTCTGGGGATGACCCAACAAGCCTCAAGAGTGAGAGGAGGCACAAACGAGGAGAGGGCACCATCTAGTGGTGGAAAGGGAGAACAAAAGAAAACACAAAGCAACCCACACAAACTGGAATCCTAACATATACTTTCTTTGGATGGCTTCAGTTTTAATTAATTTTCCAAACATTGGAAATAATACACAGTTTTTTTTTTTATCGCATTTTAAATGTTTAAATCTTTCCTTTAGAGAAGCTTGACTGTTTATCCTTTTTTCCCTTCCCCGCAGGTTTTACGGCAATCATGGGGGTGCAGCTGCACCTTGTTTGTTTAGATCAAATTATAATCATTAATAAAAAAATGGCCTAGTTAAAGTCCAGAGCTAAACCTAGTGGTGAATGTGATTAAGACTCCAACTGCATCTCTTTATAAACCCTTTATATCTTAATTTATAAAGATATAAAATAGGGTTTTAATCTCCCACCTCAGAGTTCTGCAGAATAGTATTTGGTTTTATCATTTAACTTCCAGAGAAACGTTACAAAGAAAAGACAAAGTTCAGGGAATTTAATCGCTTTTGTCAGTTGCTCGCTATATGATGTAGATGTTCCTCTGCTCCCACTGACATTGCAAACGATTTGTCATCTCGACCATTTCTCCGAACTCCCAAATACTCAAGATGAATTTCATAGATATAATAAAAGGGTAAAACGCAATAATGTCTAAGATATATGCAGCAGCCGAGGGTCCCAGCTGTCGTTAGTAATGGGGTTTGCTGAAAAGAACATGAACCAGAATATTTCTCAGTGTATTAGAAATTGAAAATGGGCACAGAAGAAACAAGGTCAAATAATCCCAAAGATAAATTAGGTAATGGTTCAGCAAGCTAACGATGCTGAATTATCATTTTGCTGTTCTGCTACATTATATTTGTAATATAACATATAAACTTATTTTGTTAAACATATTAGAGTAAAATCAGACATCAGAGTTCTGACATTAAATACTCTCCATTGAAATCAAATTAATCTGAGGTTTTATATTCCCAAAAACATCAGATCACTTCCCATGAAAGGAGCACTAACCTGGCGTTTTACTTATACAGTCCTTAAAAAACTGAGAGGAGGACGATCAAAATCACACTTTGAGGAGTTTCAGGTTTTTACACAACATGAAACAAACAAAGCCAGTTTCTCACTCTGGGTTTTCCAGCAGGTTTTAATTGAAGCCAAACTATGGTGACCAGACGTCCCCCTGTTTTTGACCCCCTCAGGGTTCCATCATTAAATCATTAAAACTCATTAAATTATTATTTTTGAAATTAAGGCATTAATTAGCATTAAAATTCATTAAATGTGATTATCATGGCATTTTAAATACTTTATTTAAAAAAACAAAAAAAACAAACAAAAGCAATTTCAATTATACCGCAATATGTTTGCGCGGAACTGCTTCTGCTTAATTATAAAACAAATTTCAACAAAAGTGGCTGGAAAACGAGGAATTCGGACATGGCTGCAGCTCGTATATATATTTTATATATATATATATATATATATATATATACACTACCGTTCAAAAGTTTGGGGTCACATTGAAATGTCCTTACTTTTGAAGGAAAAGCACTGATCTTTTCAATGAAGATAACTTTAAACTAGTCTTAACTTTAAAGAAATACACTCTATACATTGCTAATGTGGTAGATGACCATTCTATATAGAGGCCCATTTCCAGCAACTATCACTCCAGTGTTCTAATGGTACAATGTGTTTGCTCATTGGCTCAGAAGGCTAATTGATAATTAGAAAACCCTTGTGCAATCATGTTCACACATCTGAAAACAGTTTAGATTGTTGCAGAAGCTACAAAACTGACCTTCCTTTGAGCAGATTGAGTTTCTGGAGCATCACATTTGTGGGGTCAATTAAACGCTCAAAATGGCCAGAAAAAGAGAACTTTCCTCTGAAACTCGACAGTCTATTCTTGTTCTTAGAGATGAAGGCTATTCCATGCGGAAATTACTAAGAAATTGAACATTTCCTACAACGGTGTGTACTACTCCCTTCAGAGGACAGCACAAACAGGCTCTAACCAGAGTAGAAAAAGAAGTGGGAGGCTGCGTTGCACAACTGAGCAAGAAGATAAGTACATTAGAGTCTCTAGTTTGAGGATCAATAAGGGTTCGCCTAAACATGTGTTTAGAACTGATTGGTGACCTTTAGTTTATAGCATCAGGTAGTTTGTTATTTTAATTAGAGTTACAAGTTGTTTGGTTGTTTCTTTTTACACTTGATCTTTGTTGTATAAATATCAATAAACACGTAAAAATGGATGAAAGCATCGCTGTCCCTATTTTGATTTTCCTAATAAGTATTTATTTTTATTTGATTGCAGAAATCATCTTAATCTTAATCATCTTAAGCCAAATACCAACAACCATGTTATAAAAGGAAAAAGTCTGATTTCTGGGTGATGTCTCCTTTTAAAACACTCTTGAACTTGAGAGAAATCCCATTCCTAATCCCAATTTGTCAGATTATTCCTCAGTGGGAATATGGGAATATTCCAACAATCCTTCCAAGGAACATTTGTGAGGTTGGGTACTGATTTTAGATAAAAAAAGGCCCTCATTCATCTCCATAGGGGTCACATGGGTTAAAGTGAGGACTGCACTGGTACGCTGTCACGATGGAGCAAAGAGTCATTACAACAGACTAACGAAAGTGAAGGTGGTCAAACTGTCTTGGTGCGCTGAAATCTTAAAGGTGTGTTCACACCGCAGGAGAACAACATTGAATGAAGCGATTGATTTAAATTTATCCTAATGTAAACCTACAGACAGAAAATACTGGCAACATCATAGAGGAGAAGTTATCACCTAATATTTTTGTGTTTTATGTAAACAACATTATAAAACGTCTCAGCTCAAATGGCCGCCAGAAGGTGAGGCTACAGCTTCTCAATCCCATTTACGTACAAGCTTTGTCATAGCCTCTCCATTAACCAGTTCTTCCTTTAAACTCTCCCATGGATGCCGTCAGGCTCGGACTGGGAACGATTTTCGGCCCTGGCATTTGTCCATCTATACCCACGTATGACCCCCCGCCAAAAAAAAACTAGAAGCACAGTCAAACGCGTGTATCTCATATGTGAAACACAATACGAATACACATTATGGATTAACCAATCTAATCTCAAGCATCATATGAAAACCATCACCAAGACTTCTATAATGCGGTTTTACTGGCTTTGGTAACCTAAGAGCGTAAGATGGAAAACCCCCATCATGCACTGTAACATATTTTTGCAAAAATATTTGAACATAAGTTCACCAAATATAACAGGAACATTGTAGTTTACTTTAAAGAAAGCATTTTAGTTTTATTATAATTTAGCTTGGTGCAAGGATTTTACATTTTTAAGAAATAGGATTTTACAGTTTGAAGAAAACGTCACAAGGATGTTACTTCTCAAGCTCCTTGAGTTATTTACTGTCACAGGTAGGAGCTTCGGCCGGAGAGTAAGTGTTGGGGCCAGTATGGTTTAAGGAAGGCCGGCCCTCGCACGCTGAAATTAGAACTGGCCAATCCACCTCCTGGATGAGCCGTTGATGTGCTATTAATGAAACATTCCTGGTACATTTTACCACATTCTCTATATGTGGTTCAGGGATTTCTATTTAGGGCTGCACAATCAAGGAGGGGCACTGCTGCCTTGCAGCAAGAAGGTTCTGGGTTTGATTACTTGACATGGGGTTTTTCTGAATGAAGTTTGCATGTTCTCCCTGAGCATGTGTGGGTTCTCTCCGGGTACTCTGGCTTCCTCCCACAATCCAAAAACATGACTGTTAGGTTGATTGGATTCTCTAAATTCTCCTTAGGTGTGGGTGTGAATGGTTGTTTGTCCTGTTTGCCTCTGTGTTGGTGACTGGCGACCTGTCCAGGGTGAACCCTGCCTCTCGGCCGTAGACAGCTGGAGATAGACACCAGCAGTCCTAGCGACCAGCTGGGACAAGCGTGATGGAAAATGTTACCCCTATTGATCAATTCAGGATGATGTCTTTAAACATCTTTTAGCCAACTGAATTTTATCAGTGTTTCTGTTTTAAAGACCCGTTATTAAAGTCTCTGCCCTGCCTGGTGGTAGAGAAAAAACTTAAATTAACTTTACAGTTCACTTCCTATCAAACTACTAGACTAGTTTTTTCTCTAAAAAGAAGCAGAAAGTAGATTTTTTTTTGTCTTCCTGGTAAAAAACAATTAATAATTTGCTTTAAGTCCATCACTGAAGGGAGGTTTGCTGTAAACACAGCTTTAGACATTTGGATGTTTTATGTGTTTGTCTGTTTACTCCCTCAGTCTAACTCCTCCTCTCTTCTTCTCCGCTCCTCCCTCCTGTAGCTTGCAGTGTTTGGAGACTTTTCCAAAGCCTTTCATACCTCTCCTTACTATTTCTCTCTCCACTGAGTCACACCATGCCCTGAGCCCTCCCATTACCTCTATAAATTACATTTACATCCTCCATACTCCTTCAGAGTGTTTTTAATCAGTTCGGTACTTTTTATTCACCAGAAAAACACGACTGAGGGTGGAGAATATCTTACTTCCAGGTTTAGGAAGTGAAATGTGTGTGTGGTTGTGTGTTTAGTAAATGAGGGGGCGTGTGTAGATCTGGGATCGGTGTCCTGACAGCTTCAGCACTCAGATCATCAGTCAGCTTTTTCCTCTAAGAAGCACCACAGGTGAGTCTTTGTTTTCATATAAATTACCTGTTATCATGGGGGTAGAGCTTCACTATAATAGATTGGAAAAATTAAAGATTAAAACATTTAAACTTGCCCAAATATCAATTTCATTTTGCAAATTAGATTATAGTTTATTAACATATATAGGCTTTGATTGGGGTGGGCATGGTTTGGTTTGCTTTGTGCTCTTTATTTATAAGAGAAAATATTGACTAAAATCATAAAAACTCTTAGAGGAAAGGTTGTTTTTTTTTTTTTACTTAATTTAACTCAACAAAAATCATACAGAGATCTGTACATATCAACATGAGAAGGTGACATTTATAGAGTAATCAGTCATATTCCTACAAAGGTTGAAAATAATTGAGAATGTTGGGGATATTTTCAGCTTAGGGTGATATTTTTATGCATTTCCGTGTTTGATTAGAAGCCTGTCTAAAATAAAGCTGATTTTCCTTAATGTGATTTTATAGGTTGTTGCCAGAAGCTGGATCCAGTATGGCATCTCTACTGAAGGCTGGATGGTGGTTTTCCTGCTTTATTCTCCTCTGGGAAACAGTAAAAGGTAAGAATGATGTACCCGATGGGGTAAAATGACTCTTATCAGAGGTCATTATAATTAGGTCACATCAGTGCGGATTAAACATACATCATGTTCCAAAGGTATCCATTGCTTTTAGATTTTTGTCATGTTAAAATTATAAATCTGTATTTGATTCAGCCTTTCTGGTTCAATTATAAGAAGAACCAACAATTTCCGCAAATACAGCCTGCAGGCGTCTTAGAGGATGATTCAGATGCTTTGCACATCTAGAGACAAACATGTACCTACACGGCACAGTTGTTTTTAATAAATGATGTGGGTTTTAACTTTTAGTAAGACATTATGAGAAATGAAAATAGGATAATCTGAATCATTTAATTGTTTTCATGCAGCCAGATTTCCTTCCTATTTGGCTTTACCTACCCCCTCATAATTATAACTGCTTCACTTTCCCTGCAAATGAAAAGCTTCCCCACAGCATCATACTGCCACCCCTATGTTATACACACAGATTGGTAAAAAGTTTTCTATCAAAGGAAAACCAGCTGATTCACGTTCGTTGTGTCTCAAACTGCAGGATTGACTTCCTTCGGCTTTCATTTAGCTTTGCTTTCTCCATGACCAAATGAAAACCAGATTTATAGACGGAAGGGTGACAATAGGCCTCCATTATGCTTTGATTTGTTCTTGCCTGAACTGTCAGTGGGATATTGACATTTCTACAAGATGGGTTAAACATTAATCTGTGAGATGCTTTGAATATTTTTTTCTCTATGACCCAAAGCCTTATTTTCTGCTATTTGAAGCTGTCTGTGTACTAATTCATGTCACTCTATAAGAACCATGTTTCATGTTAGTTTGGGATAGTTGATTACTAAGTGTTTGCACATCACATAAAAAGTAATTTTCTAGTTTTGCCATGATAAAAAAATTAAAATTACAAACATAAATGTGTAGGAGGGAATACTTTTTTCCTGACGCTCTGAGTGATCATTTTGCACATTTGTCTGAATCCCATCATGGTGTTTCATGTTGGCTGAAGGTGCAGAGTTGCAGTGTTCTCCTGCTGATCCGGTTGCAGCGGAGCACCCTGTTCAGGGTCTGCTGGAGAGGTTTCAGGTGAGCCACGGCTGCGCTGCAAGAGAGCAGGGGAACAAGGAAACTCATGTCATCGCTTTGCAGCAAGCATCCAGCAGCCCTGGCAATGTGGTAACTGCTTAACAATTATGTTAAACACATAAGAATACTGCACTGGCCTTGATAGTGTTTGAACTGGAGGTGCTAAATAAGCTAATGATCTAAGTAACGTATATCTTGATCATTTTATAAAATCTTATTGCAAAGAGTATTTAGCACTTCTTCTCATACTAGGATAAACCTTATTTGGTTTCTAAGCTGGACCCCATTTTTATGAAGTTTGGATCTTCTCCTTCCTCAGCTAAAACATGCATGTTATGTTCAGTGGGAATGAAAAAAAACAGACTCTGGGAACTTACATTTCACGGTTGAAATAGCCAAATCATTTTAAATAATATTATGTTTTTACTCAACGAGCGAATTAATATTTTGACAAACTATTGTGGTCAAAGGTTATTGTGTTATGACGTTATTTCACATTGTGGGAGAAATTCAGCAAACTCCAGCCCCTAAAAACTATAGATATGTTGAGGAGAAATTGTAATAGTACTAAAAAAAATTCTATTCATAAAAAAAAAGAAGAAATAAATAATAAAAATTGGAGAAACATGTAAAAGAAAAACTAGCCGATGTTCATTCTATGAATATGATTTGTCAGCATTTCCTTAAAAACAGCCTTAAATTATTACTTATATAGAAACATTAACACTGGGGAATTTAACACAAGTAAACTACATTTAGATTTTATGGCCATTTGAAGCCAATTGGAGACTCTGAAATATATTTAGGGACACCTGAGTAAAGGCCACCTAATATGAATGTGAACCATGATTTGTAAATTAGTGAAACTCTAAGGTTTTTGTATTATCTTCATAGCACCTTTCACAGATACAACCATCACAATAACTGATAAAATTATCTATGTTAACATCTAATTAAACAAACACCTGTCTAAATACGTATGTCTTGAGGTTTGTTGTCTGTTTTTAAGAGTCAGTAGATGCTATGGAGTGAAGAGAAAATGGAAGGAAGCTTGAAGCTTGATCTATGCACGTCTTTAAACGAGCCCAGGGAACCATCTGCAGCCTCTGATTGGACAATCTAAGAAACCAGGAAGAAGACACCAATTTACTAAACATGTCATCTAAATGCAATGTATACAATAAATTAAATCAAATCATACAGTCAGATTAGTTAAAAGTTTTCTAAGGAGACCTTGCTGATTGTATTAATTCATCAACATTGTGGGAACCACTTAAGCAGACCAGCTCTAAGGTGGTTTTCCTGTTAAAAATAATAAAAGAGCACCTACAGTAAGTCAAAGTAGGAGAGAAACAGGACTAAACATAGAAAAAAGCCATGTAAAACCATCTTTACTTAAATGTGTAGATGGCAGCACTCTAGGTAATGTCTCCATACAAAATGGCATCAGCCTATGTCCTCCATCAGATTAAGCCTATAGCAGCACAACTAAAGCTATAGCTTACGGTAACATGAGCCACTCTAACTATCAGTTTTATCAAAAAGGAACATTTTAAGCCTAGCCTTAAAAGTAGGCAGGGAGTCTAAAGCTGTAAAATTGGATCCCTGGAAAAGAGGTCTGATAACAAAAAGATCTGCCTCCCGTTCTGTTTTTAGAACCTTTAGAAGCTACTTTGGTTAAAGAAGAAAAAAAATATTCTTTATGTTTCTTAGATGATAAAAACAGTTCCCAAAACTGTGCATACAGTGAGCCTCAAGAGATAAAGCGTTGTCTAAAAAGACACTCAATGTTTTGACAAAAGTAGATAAAAAGATTACATGCTACCTAAAAACTAGAATTGTTTTTAATGGGAGCAATCATCATCGTCTTTGTCTTATGACATAGACTCAATTTTATTTATCCCTTGGGATCACTCCTTCAGGGAAATTCTAGTTCCAGTAGCTTATATAGAGTACAAAGAGTTAAAGCAAGATGCAATTAAAGATAAAAAAAATTTCAACAGACAATATATATAAAAAAAGAAAAAAGTTGTAATGTCCTGGAATATGTTTCACTTTGGTATAAAAAAATCTGCCCAGTAAAGAGTTAAAGAAAGACTACACAGTAATTGACTTGGATTATTGCACTTGTACTGCAGAGATGTACTGACCTTATAAATAAATAAAAAATGACACAGGCTACACAGTAGTTGGCATGTGTTATTCCACAGTGAGAGAGAAGAATATTGCACGAGGGACAATAGGTAATGTTTTGCATGTCTTCTTGTCGTTAATCTGCAGACACTCTTTGATGACCCACAGTTTAACTTTCAACAAACTGACAGACCTGCCACATTTTTTAAAGCATATAAGGATTCTAGCTAAATCTAGAGATACAATAACAAAAGGACTGGGCCTAAATCAGACCCCTGAGGAATTCCTCATGACAAAGTGGCTAAGTCTAAGTTCAAGCGGTATTAAAGACTCTTCCAAAACTTTGTAAACACATTAGAGCACACTTTGGTCAATCATCCACATCTTTTTTTCCTGTCCGTAGGTGATGGTGTTCCTTAAACCCCCCTCCAGCGTTCCTCTCAGGGCGCTCCATCTGGTGCTCAGCTCCATGCATCCAATCACATGGTCGCTGAAAACTGAGCTGCTGCCCCAAAACCTCCCAGTAGTTGTGCAGGTCAGTCAGAGTGTGTAGAAAGAGAGATTGTGGACAGAAAGTTCTTGTTTAAAAGCGCCATCTTTGATCTGCTAGGTGTCTCCAAACTCCAGTGTCCGGTCACAGACTCTACACTTGTGTGCTCAAACGGTTCCTTCATTACCTTTTCGCCTCCGCAAACTGTATCACTGGGCTCTGAAGCACCACGGTAACCTCTCCTCACTGATCCATACCAAGCAAGCCAATCGGGTCTATATCCAACTGGGGGAAGGTGAGCCTCTGAGAAACAACACTACAGAAAGATTGTTGAACTTAGGTGTTGTTTTTACTTCCATAGTCATGGGTGTTTAAATCCTAATATACTTTACAGCCATGCAGATCACTTAAATAAGCATTTTTCAAGGAATGAGTCACTTTATAGAGTTCAGCAAATTAATTTAATCACTATGTAAGCTTTTTGTTCTTGATATGTAGAACCCTAAAACAGGCAAGATGGCAGAGAAATGAAAATATAATTTATTGTCTGACACTAAAGGTTACATATAAAACAAAATGGATGAATAACAATAAATAAGCCAGCTGTCCTGGCCTAATGGGAGTGGCTGGTTAGGTAATCCAGTGTCCACAAGGAAGGTCTGAAGGGCAAACATTAGCAGATATAAAGATATATTCCGTCTAGTGACTGGATAAATGATTAAAAATGTGCGAAAATCGGGCCGTGGAGCCCTTCTATTATAACTAAAACTGAAACTAGTGTCATAAATGTGACAATGTCAACCTCCTGCATAAGTTCAATTTTCCCATCAGGTGATGAGAAACAAAATGATGCATAGTTCTGTTTTTTTAATTGATGGCTAAACTTATAATCTGAGAGGTCATCTTTCTAATATTAATTAATTCCAGCTGACTTATCAAGAGAGGTGGGCGATATAGTCTTTAGACATTATTATCGGAGATATGTTTTCTAAAATGTTTACGGCTCTAATGCTTGAGTCACAGCATTACTTTGGTCTATTGTTCTTGACTAAATGAAAAACATGGAAAATCTCTCAGAAATGACAGATGAGAGAAATGTACAGTCACCTGCTATGGCTGCAGTGAAGAACAACAGCAAATGATAGCTGTTGCTTATGTTCATCCAATTCAGGCTAACAAACAATCTAGTTTTTCTCTACCGGGAGGACAGAGTAGTTACCTGATGGCACAGTCCTGTGTCTAACATAATGCCAACATTAAACTTTTGAATTCTGAATTGACTTACATGTCCAGCAGAAATCCTGCATCTCAGCATCCTTTTAGAAACCCCACCTAGTAAAAACAACACTGAAGTAGACTCTTGTCTTCTCCCAGTTATTACTTCTTTTTCTTTTCTTGGTTACTTTCTCTTCCCTCGCAATGGGCAAAGACTTTGGATCATCCTTTATTTCAACAGAAGCATGTTATGAACTTCTCCTCCACTGGTAACACTAGCTGATATAACAAGTTTGTCCTTTATTTTGGCAACCGTAATCAAAGATGGCAATGCAACATGGCGTCTTCCACTGAGTGCAATGACACCTATGTACATATTACTTAGAATTCATTCTAAGATATGAGAACCCTATTATTTTTTGATATGATTGTTGTAAGACGTTGGCAGAATATTTATTCATTGGCATCATTTGATTTTTGCAATATAAAAAAAGCAAATCAGTTACATAATATCACTTTAATGTCACAGCTTGGAACAGAGGACCCAGTTTTCAAGGCAAGACAGACAGGGGAAAAAAAAGCGTTAAATTAAACAGACAGTTACAAACCCTTGATCTTTCCTGTCTGAGGCAGGAAACTCTGGTTTGCCAGTTCAGTCCATGCCCAGAGAACAAGGTAGTATCCAGCCAATGGGCTGCCAACAAGATGTGGGGGGCACCACCCAGACTGTCCCAGATGCTGCAGCCCCAGAGAACAGAGAACGAGCAGGAGTCCAAAGCCAGGTCAGGCAAACAGATCAGAACAGGAACAGGCAGGCTTAGAGGTCAAGGAATCTGAAGCCAGGTCAGGGCAGACTAGACAGGCTGCAATTGTTTAAGGGCAGTTATTATTCTAAAGGCTTTAGCATTTGAGCTGAATTTTATTATTAATAATATTATATATTAATAGAAGAAGATATTTGGTTTTTGTTGTAAATATTTGGAGGTGTGAACATGATATTTACCGTAAATAATAAAAAAATTGACAACATAAAAATTCTGTTTTGATAAGTTAACATTTCTCCATTTCAAACAATACATCATTTTCTGTTGAAATAATATTCAGATTTCCTTGATTAAAAAAATTGACATATCTCTCCAGAATATTTCTGTATAATTAAAATCTCCAAAAAGATGAATAAATACACATCGGATCCAAATCCCATTTATATCTCTTTTATTTTTTATATGCTTTAACGTAATAAACATTATGAATCATTTTATAAGAAATTTTTCTCACTTTATTGTTTATCAAGTATTTTTTTAAGTAGCAACCAAGTTCACTTGCAATTTAAATTTTCAAAAATGCTGGACCAATAAAATATACAAGCTGGTGAAAACAATGATCAATCTTGTCCTGATTCAACCGTTTGACATCAACCCAAAACAGGTCAGCCAATCACCTTGCAGGATTTGTAATTACAATTGGCCATAACCAAATTTCAGTTGTTGACTACCATTCGACCAATCAGCACAGAAAGTTCTGCTGAATGTCCCTCCTCTCCCCAACTGGATTTTATGAGATTGATAGCGTGTAGAACTAAACCGAGAGTGCTACACCTGATCAATCACTTTCTAAGTTAAAGGGAGGATTATAATTTTCATAAATTGGTGAACGCTGAGCTTAAACGTTTGAGCTGTTTGGAAAGAGGGGAGAAAAAAACAAACAAGAAAATTGGCAGGAGAATGAAAACTAAATGAAAAAGGAACACATTCGTAAAACAATAACAAACTGAAAGTGAATAAACCCTTATCCGATCCATAAGCAAAAAACAACAGAAACCGGACCACCAATGGGATGAAATTAATCCAAAATCTGTTACCTTTTAATGGCGAAGTAAAAGTGACTGGAAACAACAGCAACTCAGGTGAAAATGTGGTTGAGCGCGTGAAATGACAGGAAATAGGAGACAGAGAAACCCACTGTGCAGATTCCACCTACTTTCTGCAGAATCAATAGCTGCAGACCTTCAAACCTCAGGCTTAGAGAGACGAGCTTAATTATAAAACATGCAGAGCTTCATGGAATGGGTTTGAATGGCTGTATTACCAAGCTTGATGCTAAGTATGGGATGCAGTAGAGTGAACACAAAGAGCCACGAGGCTCTTAAGCAGTGGGTCAACATTAAAGCTTATGCAGAATGAAAATTCATTAAAGTTCATGCAAGAGCTTCGGCTTTGCCGTGATTTCTTCTCTTTGTCAACAAAAGATTAAACTCTGCTGTAGCTGGAGGCCAGAGAGAGGTTGAGAAACACAGTGAAATTAACCTCCATTAAAAATCATCTCTTCTTTTCACAGATCCGTCCCTTCCTGATGTGTGCCAGCTTCAGTCCTTATCCCTCTTTCCTAATTACATGACCTCTGACTTGCAGCCACAAAAAGTGAAGGGCTGCACCCATCCCAGAGGAGGAGAGGCTAGCCCTGAAGTCCATGTGATAAAGCTCCATTCAGCAGGCTCAGCGCTAAGTGGGTGAGACAGTGATTCCTCTGGAGGCCCTGATTTAAGGTTAGACAGTGTTCCGCTTAGAAAAGGAGACATTATACATCTCTTTCATGATCTCCCTCAGCTCTCTGCAGGTGGAGGTAAAGGTCGCTCTTTTGCCTCCGGCGGCCCCTTCAGGACCGCACCAGGTTGTTCTGATTCTTAGCAGCTTGGTCCCGGTCAACTGGGTGATTACAGCTCCTGCTGTCTGGGGTCACATCACTGTTCATGTAAGGATGAATTATCTCCTTTAGGTGTGTGAAACTAATGGCAAATTGTAATTCTTTGCTGTTCCTTTTGCCTGTTCAGAAATAAGGATTGCTGCTGATTCAAAATACATCAACTTGTAACACCAAGCTTCAGTATGAAGTCAGGACTCTGCCAAAAGTGCATAAGGACAACAAAAACACATACGAGCAGTTTTATTTAAAACACATGCATGCAAACTACTCTGCACATGCATTTAGTCACTTTCAGGGTGCAACCAACCAAAGATTGCCAGTGATTGGCTACTTTTCAGGAAATTCCTCCTTTTGAGACAGCACAGGTTTCCTCCCATTTGTGGCTAGTTACATTAGCAAAGCATCTTTAGCCTAATCATTGTTTCATAAAGAGTTAAGAATCGGTCAATTGGAGTCATCCTTAAAATACTTAGTTTAATACTGTCATGAATATTTTCTGAAAGCAGCAACAATATGCTGTACAAAAAGAAATGTTACGTTTGGAGCTTTGCATGTGCTTAGCTAATGTTTATATTTAGGCTGCCGTTTAAAATGAAAGTTAGGCTTGAATTACCTCTTGTTTATTGTTGAACACAGAAAATTATATTTCTAATCAGTTACCATGTATCCTAGGTCCAACACACCTAATTAAATGGCCGAATGACCTTCTCCGCATGTAGTGAATTTCTCCAGAATTCTGGCAATCATCTAATTGCTTAAACGCAGAGTGGAAGACCTACAGTGCTGCTATTCATGGATCTCAGTGCAGCGTTTTAAACTGTTGATCACTTGATTTTAAATGGAGAATCTGGAAAACTTCAGCTTTTCTGGTACCGCACTGGACTGGTTTAAGTCCTTCTTGAAAGATAAGGGACCTCTATGCGTCAGTAAGGAACTTAAAATCAGAGACAAGAAAAATCACATGCGGGGTTCCACAAGGCTCCATTTAGGGGCCCCTCCTGTTAAAAATCTACATACCATAGCTATGCAGACGACACACAGCTTTACATAATTTCACCTGGTGACTATGAACCCATCAGAGCATTTTCTACATCCTTAGAACAAATCAATATGAGGATGCACCATAATTTACTCCAACTGAATAAAAACAGATATGAGGTAATAATTTTCTGACCAAAGGAGGAGAGATACAGAGTTAGCTGAGCTTCAGTTATTACAGCTAGAAACCATTGATTATGGCCTAAATCATGGTGTCATGATGGACTCAGACCAGAACCTTCAGATGCTCAGAAAGGCGTTACTAAGTCAGCCTTTGATCACCTGAAGAACATTTCCAGGGTTAAAGGACTAATGTCCAAGTACGAAAACTCATTCATGCATTTATCTTTAGTAGAATTGATAACTGCAAGATGATTAACCCCCCCCTATAGACTGCCACTCTGGGTCCCTGAGCATACAGCTCCCCAGGCACCCCATGATGGCAGCCCACTGCTCCCTAAGGGGACGGGTTAAATGCAGAGGGTGACTTTCTCTAGCGTGAGATCAATAAAGTTCAATTATTATTATTAATTGAAATCAAATCTAAGATTACATTAGTTGTAACAATGACACTATTTAAAACATTGAACTAAATTAAATAAACTACTAATAATCGGCCGCTCTTTAAAAATAATCAAAAAACAGTGTTTTCCAGTCTGTATTTATTATGTGACCCTTAAATTACAAAACTTATCTTCTTTCCAGTCCTCCAACAGCATCTCTCCACCATTTCCACCAGGGCCTAACCTAACCCTGTCCAGCAGGCTTGTGTCTGACCTCTCCACAGTCTCTGATCCGCTGGTGTGGGCCTCTGAAAGCGGCTACACTAACGTTAGATCTTACACCGAGGCTGACCTGGCCAATCGCTTTGTGATCCAGCTGGCAGAAGATGGGACAGGTAACACTTTTCCACCTCTCATGTTACTGTTGAAGATACTAAAATCTTATATTATCATTTAACACTTCAGACTTTTTCATGCATTTTTAACCTAGGTTTGACGAAATGAACACTTTG